TGGAGCCGTTGGCGCCTCGCGACGCCATTAAGCGTGGCTGCCCCCCGCGGGCTCTGGCGCTGTGCGGGGCCGAGCGGGAGGCTGAGGGGAGGAGGGCGCATGGCGGCGGGGAGCCGCAGTGCCTTCGTCCTCAACCGGCCGGGCTCATCTCTGGAAAAGGCCAGGGAGCAGCAGGGCTGGATCAGCTTGCCCTTAAACACGGGGCCTTTGGGCTTGCGGATCCGCACAGTGCACCAAATCTGYCCTGACTTCACCCAACCCAACAGAGCAGCGACTGTTCTGCCGAAGCAGCAGCCTCCTGATCAGCATAACCACGTCCTTTGCTAATATTTAGGATTCAGTCGCTGATTCTTGGGTTTGTTTAATGTTTTAAGGAGCCTCTGCGATGTGGAGTGTGAAAAAAAAAACACAAATAGGGCAGGGATCTGCTTCACATTGTCTCCTCAGAAGTGGCGCTAATACGAATGGCCGTGAAGGCGGCTGCATTCAGCATCCTCTAGGGCCCAGAAGATTTTACTGCACTAAAACCTCCATAATTCACTTCTAAATCTGAAGAAGACTGTCTAGCAGTAGCAGAAGTGTTTAGCAGGCTGAAAATAGCATATCTGTTGCAGACAGTGTCTGTAAAATTAAAAGGCTTCACCACTGGGCTGAGAGAGCAGATTATCCACAAAGTTAATAAATTTGTCACCAAATGGACAAAGCAACTTTTCTAAAAGTGAAGAAAGGAAGTGTGCAAAAGTGAAAAGGAAGTTTGAGGAGCACACATTTCRTGCAGGCAAACAGCAAAGGGCAGTTTATTTGGGGAAGGAATATTACAGACGGACACATAAAGTCTTCCCCCTGTTTCTAAGGAGATCGGGGTTAGGAAAGTGCAGCTGCATTTTTTTTTTCCTCTCAATTTACCATTTTTCTCTCASTTTACCTTTTCTCTAAGCTGTGGTGTTTAATCTGGGACCACTTCAGAAATCCTCCAACTGGCAGGTTCCCGCTGGAGTTTTTCYTAAGCGGGATCATCGCAATGGCCAGCGCCTGTTTTTACAGAGTCTCTGCTTTGTAGGTGTTGAGTTTGCCTGTTCTCAAGAGACAGCCACRTTTGCCCCTAGGCTGTGGTGGAGAAGACAAGACAGTTGTGAAAGACTAGGAAGAGCGACACAAAACCTGCCGAAACRGTGGGAGGCTCCAGAGGGACCAGCCAGGAGTCCCGCAGGGTGAAACGGAGGAGGTTGGAAGCATTGTGYTCACCTCCCCATTGGGCTGTGCTGGAGCTGAGTCACAGAATCACACAGAATCACAGAATATTCAAGGTTGGAAGGGACCTCTAGAGATCATCTAGTCCAACCTTCCTGCTTAAGCAGGCACACCTAGAGCATGTGGCACAGGGTGGCATCCAGGTGGGTTTTGAAGACCTCCAGAGAAGCAGACTCCACAACCCCMCTGGGCAGCCGGTGCCACTGCTCTGTCACCCTCACAGTGAAGAAGTTCTTCCTCACTTGGAGATGGAACTTCCTGTGTTTCAACTTGTACCCATACACGTGTGTGAGCCCTCACACACGAGCTCATTGCATTGCTCCCCGCCATGGTCACATCCTGCGTTGGGGTTTCTGTGTCCCAGATGGGATGGGCTGCTCTGAAACATGGGGTCCTGGTTTCTCAGCAGCTGTGCTTCACGTTGCACACTTGGGCACTTACACACCTAGCACAGCRTTTCACAGCCTTCACACGAGGCCATCACAAATTGCCTGGAAGCTGCTGCAGGTTTTTATGCTACTTGGCTGTAAGCCCATTGGCAGATGCTGATTCTGCCTCTTGTTAACACAACTGTTTAATAAYGTTCATTCTTAAATTAACAGTAGGCCTTACCAGCCTGCGGGGTCTGTCATTTCCTTGCAGTTCTCTTTTAGCTTCTCAGACAAACCTTTAGGAAACTTCCGTGACRTAGAACATCAGAAAGAAACACAAATATGTCAGGCATCTTTCTAAATTTATTTTTTATTCTGATAATTTCTAAAATTAAATCTTTTTACCTCCTGAAGGTAAAAGGAGGTTCCTGAAAGGAGTGATGCACATAGAAATGATTGTATCCAAGTATGTTATATGGYTATGACAAAGCAAATATAACATATCCGTCTCCAACCATGAGGAAACACCAAAATTGAATTCAATAAAATAAAATTTAAATAGGCAATTACTTTATTGTAGCATTTCTTTGTAAATATTTATTGCATTTAAATAAAATATTAATAGCTTGGTTTTTGAAAGATTCAGTTTGATCTAATACTTCTTTGGCTTAGAAAAAAAAACTTTTAGAGAACAATATAGTTTACATAGATAGAGTTTTCCAAGGGAATAGGACAAGACAAGTCAGTGTGCTCCTGATCCATCATCATTATTCYCACTCTAACAGCAGCATTATCAGATAGCCCTAACCAATTCCATGAACTAATTATTAAACACCTTTTTGAGAAGGTAACAAGCACTGCTAGGAAAATRAATTACATTTAACTAATTATTATACTGCCACCTTGTGCTCGCTGCCTGTGTAGCTACACAGAGAAATCCTGTTAATTTAGACAGTTCTGGCTGAATGGCCTGGAGCAAATTAACTGTAGACATAGATACAGTGAACTCACCCGAAAAACAGTAATTGGAAGCAACTTACTCTGTGCAGAGTAACAAAGTGTCCTGAAAAGGATCAATCTGAATATATATGTTGTTTCATATGCATTCAAATAAGGCTCTGGGAGTAGTATTTCCACACGGTGCTACTTGAGGAGGCATTCAACAGAAYTGAAAAATAGTGTTGATTGAGCAGCAGCAGCAGGTGGCGAAGACAGTTCACATACTGCACAAATCTTTCATTGTACCAAAAAGCAGTAAGATTGGAGGTAAAATATCGAAAGATGGTGTGTGGGGAGCCAGCAAGCACAATCAGAGATGTGCTTGGTGCACATCATTTTGGGCAGACGGTTCACAGGGAACGAAAAGCATGTCATGCTGCTGTTAAACTGAGTAAATCCTTTTGGGGGATAATGTATTTTTGGTGTTTAGGCTTCTATTATTACTAATTTTAAATAAAAAAGGGGAAATTTAAGAAAATAAATTTGAAAAGGTTTAATGAAATAATACTGTTACAGAGCAGATGCTCACAGATGGAGTATTTATTATGTTGTTCCTAGAATAGTATTTTCAGTGACATCAGTGAAAGTCTCTTGCCAATTTTTTTGCTGTAAGTGAAGAACATCGTGAGCCTGACTAAATATAGTGGAGAAAAAAATAGGCAACCTCAAAATCTAAATCATTCAAAGGAATACCTTATCAGAATGCTAATAATTAACTGTATAGTCCAAAATTAGATTATGCAAGTTAGTTCCCAACAAATTAATTTAATGATTTTCAGGCATGAGATTTAGAAAATGGGAAAAGAACTATGGTAAAAAGAACCCTGAAGTTTCATCCATCTTTATTTTAATTTTGATGGTGATTTCTGGAAGAAAGTTATCTTAAATATYCCTCCTTTACTATCACCCTAGATTGCATGTAAGGCAAATATTTTCAGAAAAAAACATTTCCCTTTCGTAATATAATTCAAATATATGCTTGCTCTATTGTGCTGGCTTTATAATATATATACATTGCAAACAGAAATGGGATTTTGAAAAAAACAGAAGTGATAACATCTGTAGTTAAGAATTTATCTGCAAAGTGAAAACATTTTCTCTCTACACAGCAGATATTCAGACTCATTTCAAACTTAAGGTTTTTTTTTTTTTTTTTTTTTTAGGGTAAGGTAAATAAAATACATTGTGCTATTCAGCTCCAAAAATTAGTTTATATTCTACCATATAATGTAATTTCTACAAATATATATTCAGTAGAAACTTGTCTTCTCTTCCTTAATGTCAGCGTAACTGCTTTTGAAAATAGTTGGAAATTCTGTTTTGGAGGAATAAAAGAAAGTATTGTGTGCATTCTGGCGTTCACAGCTCTTTCATTTTCTTTTATTTCCTCTGTCTCATCTATATTAAGCAGCTCAATTTCCTTCCCTTCAGATGTGATAACTTTTATCTACCTGTTCGCAGCAGCTATCTCTGCAATCCTTTACGGACACAGGGCATTTTCCTATATGACTGGTACTAATAAAGTGGAAGAGTTACCCAAAGGCCACATTAAGCCTCCAGCATTCAAATTTGTACTTAAAATAGTGAAAGACTGTAGGAATTCTATTTAAACCAGTGTTATGCTGCTCTTCTCTTCTTGGTGTCTTGTGTTTAAAAGAAAATGAGGCCATGGGATTTTAATGAGTGTTTTATTTATGAAGCCAAAGGTTCATAGCAGTTGGCAATTTAATGAGGTGATTAATGTGTATAAACAGTTTCATGTTGTTCACTAGAGAAATTTTAACATGAAATGTACCATACATTATGTGAAGATTGGAAAATACACACAGCAAGAAGCATTCCTTTACTTTAGGTACGTACTTACATGCAAAACAAGAAGCTGGGATGTGTCTTTAATCTGAGGCCAGAATATAGGCTTCACTTACTGCCTGCTAASACTGTTGCCACCAAAGCATGCAAATGCATCTGTCTTTACTGTTATTGTGACCTTTTCACTTCCCATTTGTATTTTTAGTTCATGCTGGTATCTGTCAAATCCCATATTCTTAAAGCAGAGACTGTACTCTTACACAGAACTGAACAGAGTTTAAGTTCTAATTGTTTCTGCAATGTGAATAACGACTACATCTTACACCTTAATGTGAAAAACATTGTGAGCACTTAATTCTGTTAATGCTAAAATGAACATAAAGCTGCAAGACTTTAAACAAGAATTGGCCAAAAGAGAATTACTCTGTTTACATCACTAAAACCTCTCACAATAAAAATTAACCTGTGAATCTAGTAATTCCATTTATTTACCAAAACACAACACAGATCGAGTGTCAAATTAAGAAAAAGAATAGAATGCTATGGAGCAGCTTAACTGGTTGAAATTCAGAGTCACATACTTCTGAAAATACCAACTAATCATTATAAAATAAATATTTGTGCACTGGAAATATTTAAGCTTTTAATTTTTACCCAACTGTGCCCTTCAGTAACCCTTTAAAATCCATTAGTGCCAACTGTTTTCTGCTTGTAAAATACCTCTGTTCAATGGTTTGCACAAAGGTATGTGGTAGAGAATGTGCATGACACAGGCAGCTATATGTGTTTTTGAGATGAAGTCAAATACATAAATTCTTTGAAGCATAATTTTAGTTACCTCAAGTCCCAGCASGGTTGAATCTGACAACAGTTGTTTGAATATGAATGATTTTATATCTACTTGTAAGTTATGTTTYTGTTGAATTCAAAATTAATGGTATTCGAAGTAGCAAACAGTTGGCAGTAATGGATTATAGATGAGATCAAATTTCTAATTCTCCGAAAAACAGAGATTGCCACAAGATTGTCTCTAAACAAGCACAAAGAAATGACACATGTTTAGCAGCAGTTAGGTTCACTTTTTATATATTGTGCTACTGATATAATGTGGGGGAATTATGTGCTTTCTAATCAAGATAGCATCAGATACACGCATGCAAAAACAGGTTAAAAACAAGACTACGCTACCATGCAGTAGTCTGCTGAGGCTACCAAAAGAATGAGTAAAGGTGCTCCACAACTGAAATTATTATGGTAATAAATAATAATACAAAGTAACAATAGTTGCACAAAGCTTGGGCATCCAAATAATGAATCAAGACCCAGAGTACTGGGTTCTTGGTTCATAGATTGTTGAACAACTGTTTTAAATCACTTATTGATTATATATCTCCTCCCCACAATTTCAACTCAAGTTATCATCCATGCTAAATTCAGACTCCTAATTCCTCAATTAAGGAGCAAAACATGTGTGCATTCCCAAGCATACACCTAAGCAAGCAAGCAAGCAAAATGTGTGAGGTAGAAGCAATAAATGTGCATTTGAGCATTTTGTTTGTCATAAATAAATGCAATGGTGGCTAAGCAACACAAGATGATCTATTACTTTTTATGAAAGATTAAAGCGGATTGTTATTTCTTCAAAAAACTTGAATGCTGCTTTGATGCAAATAGAAGATTGGCTATAGTTTTTAAACCAATATAAATAAGAGTATTTATGYTCAAAGAAAAGTAAAGAGGTTAGCTTTAGCTGGCACTCCAGCTCGCTTTTTGGCTGGGTGAGTATAGGTGCAGGACCTCGCATCCTGGCATTTCTGGTTATTCCAGAATAGACATGTCAGCCAGAAGGCACACATTGATGTTCCTTGCTCAACATACAGGATGTGAAGACCTCAGTCTTTAAACGCTGACAGCAAATGAACTATGCAGGTAAATTAAGTAGTTATATGAAAAAAAAAAAAGAAAAAGAGAGGCTCTAGCAACCACGGAGCATCCTCATAAAAATTGTGTAATCAAGTTTTTAAATTGATCTATTTGAATACTATATGGAAATATATATTGAAAAGTATCTAGTTATGAAATCTGTGTGGGTGTAGACCACACCTGCCAAGCTAACTCCTTGGCAGGACGCTACACCTTGCAGAAGTGACATGGATTACTGGAGCAGCAACCAGCGAACTGTGGTCACGGGGGAAAAAAAAAAGATGCTTTTTTCCATGTCCTGTGCCTGCTGATGAGTAGGATTTGTGTTCTCTTGAGAAAGGGGAAAAAAAAATAAAAAAAAGAGGAAGCGAAATAGGAAGGAGAAAAAAAAAAAAAAAAAAGGAACATTTGAACAGAGCAAATGCAACTAGAGAGATTTGTCTCACAGGAACCTAGTGCTTTTATAAAGCAAATCAAAGGTGAAGAAGCATTAGCAAATGAGCCCAGTACCAAAGGGAATGTGCCACTTTGCCAGTGCAAACTCTGCACCCGCTTGAGCCTGGGCACGGTGCTGAACCTGCCTGCTTCAGACAKGGCCGCACAGGCTGGAAGGTGGCACAGATCCCGCCACCAGACACRTTAACCGAGACAGAAATTTCTCTGACCGAGATCTTGGGTGCGCGTAAATCTTACATGGCCTAATGGGGCAGCGGGTCAGCCTCGTGGAAGAGAAACGCACTGGAAATGATTTAATACAGGGACGTTTCTCCCCTCAGGAGAAACCTGAGGGGTTTCTCAGGGAAAGCCCTGAGACACAAAGTGTTGAAGCTGATAAGATTGATAACTCCAAATAAAATAAAGTAAAGTAAAATAAAATAAAATAAAATAAAATAAAATAAAATAAAATAAAATAAAATAAAAACAAAATAAAATAAAAACAAAATAAAATAAAAACAAAATAAGCTCCAGCCGTGAGCGGCACGACAGGCGCCAGCAGGCCATGTCGAGGAGAGCTCCGGGGAGGTGTCGGGACCACCGGCCCCTCGCCGCGGGCGGCAGCAAC